TCGAATCAGGAGAGACAAACATCCCTTGGCAATTTTCTTCGTCCATCGAGGATCGAGGTAATCGAACAGGTATCTCGTTTCCGATAAACGGTGGCCAAAGAGAGGACGGCCACCGCCGCGTATATAAATCGTCGTAACTGTCGCATAAATAGGGGATGGTTGTTAGTTAACTCTCCGTGTCCAGGCCATTGTTCCACGAGAATTGGAACGCCTGTGACGCCGGCTCCTTTCCAGTCGACGCGATAACCATCGTGATCGTTCACGTTCCCCCGGAACTGTGAAATACCGATTAAAATAACATTTCCGTTTCGAACGACGGTTCAAAGGGATTCTCGTGCAGATTTTCGAGCCCTGTTGATTCCCAAATCCCAAATTTTTTCGTAATAAAATAATACAGAGTAGGAAATGTAACGTCTTTGAAATTATCAAATCGTTTTACTTTTATTTCGATAGGAATTTTGTTAAAATTTTTATATTACAGTGATTTTTACGATAACCCATGTTAACATCCACGGAACGTGCCACGTTATTATTTTTTGACAACTGAATCAAATTGATACGCATTGATTGATCGATGATCGATCGAGAATGTTCAATGTGCCTTCTTTGCATTTACCAATTTTTTATTCGTTTCCTCGAACACGTAATTTTTCTACAACAGTAAATAAACTTAACCTACAAAATGTAGAAGATACGAAAATACCTAAATTGTATATGTAAAACTCATTAAGATATTATACGAACCTAATTATTATCAGATCAGCCCCGAGAATAAGCCGTATCAAGCCTCCCCTTCCCCCCTCATTCAACCAAGAAACGCGATTAATTGCAAGTTTCAAGGACAAAACCGACGTTCGCCCTTCGCCCGAAAGCCCCGCGAGACAATCGATTCCCGTCAAAGTTTGCGAGGAGGGGGGGGAATCCTTTCTCCAACCCGCGAAAAACCCACTTCCCTTCCTTCCGCGAAACTTCCCTTTGATTCCTCCCTCGAAAACTCGGCCGAAAGAAACTAATGGCGGCCCCCATTAATCACCGATGCGCCGATGAACTTCTCGCCGGGGAGGGAGAGAGGGGGGGAAGCGAATTACACCGCGGTTCACCCGTTGAATTTTCCATCCGTCGGAAACGGAACAAAACTCGCGATGACGATTGTTCCCTACCCCGCCTCCTTCTTCTCTCGCGAGTGTGGAGGGAGGGGAAGAGCAGGAGGGTGAAGGAAAGAGGGAGAGGCCTTTGTGAGGATTCGGCCTTGCAGACTTCCTCTCTCTCTTCTTCTTCTTCTTCTTCTTCTTCTTCTTCTTCTTCTTCTTCTTCTTCTTCTTCTTCCGGCGGCCTCATTGATCCGAGTTCGAAGTTGAGGGGAGGGGGAAGGGTGAAAAAGGAGAGGATTATCCGCGAATTAGAGTCGAAAAGGTGGAGGGATCCGTCCGGGGGGATAATGAGTTATGCTCTTTCGATGAGTTATGCTACTTCTTGGCGTCGTCTTTGGATTTATATTCCGATGGAGGGGGGAGAGGAACAGGGTCGGGGAAGACGACCTTCTCTGAAGCAAGTCTGGGGAGAATTGTTCGACGAGGAATGTGGATGAATCTGTAAAGATGAAATTGGGATTCCTTTTTCCTTTTTTTTTTTTTTTCAAGAAAATTGTTTTAAGGAGGATTGGCAATAAATGATCTAATAGTGCAGGATTTTTTTAAAATTAGATCATGATAACATCGGAATTATTTAAACAAGATTAGTAATTGATTAAGAATTGGAAACTGGTTTCGGTAAAATTGATGTGATTTAAATGATATTAGTAGAATTACAAAAAATCTAAAATAGACAATTTAGATAATAATTGTTCACCTATTATCAAAATTTTTGAATTAATGCCGAGCACACAGTATAGTATTTCTGCAGCCATAAATTATTAATAATTATCCTCGATCTCGAACAATATTAAAATTTTTAAAATACACCTCGTACTCCTCTACGATCTAAACATTCTTCCAATTTCAAAAAATGTCCAATCGCCAAAAAAGGTCGGGATTAAAGCGAACAATAAAAAAAAAATGTGAACGAAGCAAAACCGGAAGCGACGATGCAGAAACGTGGACGTATTTAACCGGAAGTCGGCCGGAACAGAGATCTGGAATCTATTGCAAAATAATAAGTTATCTGCCGGCGACTTTTGCCGACGTGTCCTCCTCCACCGCTTTCCTTCCACCCCCTCGGGTTACCTCATTATTTCTAACTGATGACGCCATAATTCAGCTTCACGCGACGTACAAGAAAATGGACTTCCCCTCGTCGACGACTCGTGGCTGTTCCACCACCACCATCACCACCACCCTTCGTTCTTCGAGGGTAGTAACAGCGACAACTGGGGGTGTCTGGCCCCCCTATTCCGTCCAATTAAATGCCTAATCAATTATCTGGCGAAGGGGGTGAAGAGAAGAGGGAGAGTTGGCGCCCTTTCTTGCTCCTACCTCTCGAAACATCCGTCCTCCTCCTCCTCCTCGTCCTACTCTTCCTCGTCCTCGTTATGCCGCGAAGAAATTAGCGGAGGTGTCAAGGGATCACCCTGGCCAACGTGTTTCCACCGCCTCGATAATTAGCCCTAAGTTGGGCAGGGAGGGGAGGAGAATTCGCGGAGGACTCGTGTCGCCAACCTGTGAAACGACGTTGTTCCTGTTGCAGAGGGTGTGGGTGAAGAGAGTTTGGAGAGAGTGAGTGGTGGTGTTTTGTAGGAAATAGTTGAGCCGGTCTTCGTGGATTTGGCGAGTTCAATTAATTTTGGATGGATCGGTATACGGGGATAATGTTGAAATTGTTGTGAGTAAAAACTTGTTCTATCATCTTCTATCATTATCATTAAAGAAGCTTTATGAAGAGTCACTCGTGGAGACAACTAAAGAGGACAAATTTTTTTAAAAAATTCATCTTATTCGAGCTTCATTGCAACCTTCTTTCTCTTCTACTTTACTAATAAGTGATTTGTGTATAAGATATTTTTCTCGAAATCTTAAAATCTACGTACTTCGATACGTATGATTAATTAAAGTGAAAATTAACATTTTGCAGAATGCTCGTTAACAATGTTTCATCAACGAACATTTTCGAAACGTTTCGAAGTTGGAGATGCGAGGATTACGCGCGATCTCAACAAATCTGGCAATTCCAACGTTGCCAACGTTGGTTCCATTGATGATGGCGGATACTAATTAGAACGGTCTGGGAAAGGAAACCGGTTCCCGCGATGGGAAAGGCCCGAAGATGAGAGCCCCATAGTTGAAGATAGAGATGGCGTGGGAGGTAATTTAGGTATCGTGGGTGGTAGGGAGAAATTTAGTAAAGCCTTGACCGTGCTCATCTGCCCGCTCTTTCCGTCGTTCAGACCCGAAATTAACGCTTTGTACGCGACCTCGAAACTGCGAAACACCGCGCGGTAACGCCTGTGTGTACTGGCCGCTTCATTAACCTCGTTACAAAGAACTCTTCCCCCTCCCCCTCCCCTTTTTTTCCACGCTCCCCTCCTCTTTCCTCCCCTTGTATTCTTGGCCAACCACCCTTTAAAGCTTTTCCTCTCCTTCTTGGGAGTGGAGGTGGCCGGGCCTTGAAAAGGTCTCTCGAGAATGGGAGAGGGAGAATCGAGAATTATCGGGGAGGAATGATAATGTTTTAGAGAATTTTGAAAGGGAGGACGTTTTTATGGGAAATTAATTTGCCAACGTTAGGGAGAAATGTGAAAACAAGAACTGCTTCTGTTATTTTTCGTTTTATGAAATTCTTCGAATATTTATTCATTTCGTTGGGCACAACGTTAATATATTTCTGGAAAATCTCGAGAATATACATTGAAAATATAAGGAATAGATAAAATAAAATTATCTATTTTTAATATTGCAATATCGGTTAATAATCTGTCTTCATTAAACGGCAAATAGGAAAAACTATCTACTGGTTTATATCCAATAATAAACGCGATCTATAAACGGATTTAACCATACAAAGAATAAATTCTCCCGTCCAAGACAAAATAATTCTTCTAATACCTCGAAATTAAAATTAAGAAAATTAAAATTCATCGAACGGCAATTATCGTTGTTACAACTTAATTATATCAACATCATTAGTTATAAACACGACTTATAATCGAACGTTAAAAAAATGACGCCAAAGAAAATAATTCTAATGATAACAGCATAAACGAAATTATCGTTTATCGCGAATTATCAACATATATTTGCAACAAAATTATCGACGTGTAGTATCTTCTAGTTATGGAATCGTGATCGAAAGAAAGTTTATTATCGAAGACGGGTCGTTAATCGTTGAATTACAGGGAGGACGTGTTACAAAATTCGGTTGGAAATCAATGGATCCTGGCCCGGATTAAAATTTTCACCCGTGTATAACGGTGAGAATTTAAGTGAGAATGATTACGCGCGTCACGCGTAATACGGGGATAATTGCGTTTCGTACGGGACTTAATGGAGTTACGCGATTTTAATTATACTCCCTCCCCCTCCTCCCGGATCAGCGTTTTTCTCTCTCGTGTCTCCTTGCATCCTTCGAGCGCCGATTTTTCATCGCGACTTTTATTCGTTCCCGTTGGAGAGGAAACGGGTATGTACTCGTTAATTACGGATTGATGAAGGGCCGGTGAAGCCAAGTTGGTTCGCGTCTCTCAAACGGTGGAATATCAATCCAGGAGGGGGAGAGAGAAATTTATTCGAATCCCCTTTTTCTCCCCGGAGAAATTGATTTATTCGATTGTATTTAAACATTCGTGTATATAAAAAAAATTGAAAACTTTCATTCACAAGGAGAGATCAAAATTTCGGCAATGTTAAAATAATGGAATTCTAAATATTTTGTGATCGAAAAGTATTACTCTCTTTTTTTCGATTTCTTTCTTTTTTTTTTTTTTTTTTTTTAAACGAATATACTTTCGCCTCACGTATTTAGAAATCGAGATGTTACGAGAAAGGTTTCGATTCTATTTCGTTTTTCAGGTTTCCGGCCATTTGTACAACACCGGCCAGTTCCTGGTGTTCAGAGCCGATCGGGAGGCGAAGGTGCGGGTCAATATAACGGGTGGGCCGTTGGCTTATCACTATCAATTCGAGGAGATCTACATACACTATGGGATGGATAACGATCATGGATCGGAGCATCGCATTAATAACTACGCTTTCCCCGCCGAGGTGAGTGAAACTCGATACCGGATTTTTTTTTTTTTTCTTTCTCTCCACTTCCGTGAAAACGTTGGAGTTACTCGTTCCGCGTTGGAGAAACGCGGTATTGATTTTCGTTTAAGATTTTTCCGGCAATATTATTTCTAATTTGTTTTTTTTTTTTTTTCAGTATTTAGATTAAACAACGAGACAACTGTAATTATACTTTGAATTTTTCTAAATTTAAAAAAATCTTTTTTCAATTTTGTAATAGGTTGATACGAATAGGTAATCGCGTAATAATTGAGATTGTTTAATGGCGAAACTTTAACTGGGATACGTTGCGCGTAAATTAAAAAAGAAGAAGAAGAAGAATTTAATTTTATATTCCAAATTTTGTGATAAATAAACATACGTACATTTTTTTTTAAAGATTTTGAAAAACTATTTTTATCTCGCAAAAAAAAAAAAAATCGGAGAGGAGAGCAAAGAAAAATTTATCAACGATTTAAAAGCAGGCCGGTGAAAAATTGAAATTTTAGACACTTCGGTCGCACGCAAAATTTAATATTCTTGGTCTGGTGAAACCTGATAAAATTCAACCGTGAAATTGACAAAAGGATGACAAAATAGAAACGAAGGGGAAAAAGAAAGAAAGAAAGAAAGAACGATTTCATATCGCTTTTAAGCGTTTATATAGAAACGAATCTACTTTCAAACAATATCACTGTTTTATTCCATAGGAAGCGGCATAGAAAAATAAAAGGAAAGGGTGAAAGAAAGGGAAATAAACGGACGGAATTAGCGATAGCGCGTTTAGCATACCGTGGAAGATTATTGGACGAGCGGGAATTTTAAAGTTCTTGAATCTTTCATCGGATCGATATTTGACCATTCTCGTTGAAAATTCGCTAGAGTTTCTGCTTTTAATTATGCATTACCGCTAGTCCTCGTTTCGACGCCGAAATCGAAATCTTCGAAACGAAACGATACCTCTATCCTCATTCCTCGTTGAAAAATAAATTCAACTTGCTTCTATTTTCATTCAACCTTCGAATCGTAAAGTTGCGTCAGATGGACAATTTTCGCCTCATGTTTCGTCATTTCCTATCTCTTCTAATTCCTTCTTTTTCAAGGGAAAAGAAAAGAAAAAATATATAAATGAAATATAAATGAATATATTCCTTCAAGTTCATTATTCAAAATTCCATCCTTTCATATTTAAAGAAGAAAAGATTCGAATCCTTAACGAAGACATCGTTATTCCTTCTTTTTCAAGGGAATGCAAAAATACAAAAATATATATAAAACATATGTTCTTTTCGACAGTGCTAATAACATTCGTTATTCAAAATTCCATCCTCCATATTTAAAGAAGAAAAGATTCGAATCCTTAACGAAGACATCGTTATTCCTTCTTTTTCAAGGGAATGCAAAAATACAAAAATATATATAAAACAAATGTTCTTTTCGACAGTGCTAATAACATTCGTTATTCAAAATTCCATCCTCCATATTTAAAGAAGAAAAGATTCGAATCCTTAACGAAGACATCGTTATTCCTTCTTTTTCAAGGGAATGCAAAAATACAAAAATATATATAAAACACATGTTCTTTTCGACAGTGCTAATAACATTCGTTATTCAAAAGTTCATTTTTTCGTGTCTGAATAAAGAAGGAAAAGGAGAAGAAAAGATTGAAATCTTTAACGAAGACACGAAGTCTGGAAGAATAACGCGGAAATTACGCGTATAATCTGGAAAAATCCCTGTTCCGTCGGGGCTCATCAGCGAATCAGTGGACAAGGTTAAGATGATAAAACCGGGACGAGGGAAGCTGACGGCGTAGTTAATCGAAATTAATCACGGGGCCGGCTTCGTAACGAGACAAATTAAACATTCGTTAAACGCGACGTGACGATGACCCAATTAACCGCGACCTGCTCATCCTTCCGGCAACCAGACCCTCTCCATGTGCGACCCAGTTATCCCCTGGACGGTCGACGGCCCGCGAGAGAATATCGCGTTGCGCCTCGTCCTCCACGATTTTCCCCGATTTTTTTAATTAGTGTCGAAAGCAACACGCCTCGTCTCCGTGAATTTCGTCGAAAAGAGCGGTGAAAAGAATAAAATGTCCCCTCCTCCTCCTCTCCCCCTTGGAAAATTATTTTCGACTTTTTGGGTCGAGAACTGGGATAAGAGAACAACTTTTAGAGAATTATGAGAGAAGAGAGAAAAAGAAAGAGAGAGAGAGAGAGAGAGAGAGAAATGGGTGGATAGAAATAGAGGTGTCGTTCACAATTGTGCATTGGATATGGGAAAGAAAATTGTAAACGCGTAAATTTTTCTTTTTTTTTTTTTTTTTTTTTTTTTTTTTTTTTTGTGAAAGTGTGAAGAAGATTCTTCTGTTTGTCGATTGATTTTTTTTTTATTGATATTGAGAAATTGTTCGATGCAATTAATATCTGTAAAATTGATCAACGTTACACTCGAAAAAAGGATATTAATTAACATACTAGCGATGCTTGATGCAACTCGCTCGACCATTTGATGAAATCAATATCGGATTATCGTGGAAATTCCAATGAAAGTCGCGAGAGATTAAATGACTCACCCTAAAAATTCCTCGATATTCGTTCGAGCTTCGATTCGAATTCCTCTCTGCCCAAAATTGGATTTGATTTTTATATACCTTTTACTTACTTTATTTACTTTATTTCATCATTAAGGAAATCGTTGTCAGATAAATAAAACGGTTATATCGTAATTTTATATTTTAAGAAAAAAAAAAAAAAAGGGAGTATATAATTTTTCCTTGTATATAATTTAGAGAAAAATATAGGGCAACGATTTTTCCATAACATAAAATGTTGTCGTGTAATATTCATCGTGAATGAATCGTTTCGAAGAAAGGCATTTTATTTCGTTTCAATTGAAGCTATTGATAACGTGTCGGATATAATAAAATTCATCGATTTCTCTACATAAACCCCAATGAGGGAAAGCTTAATCTAAATCGAAAAAGTGGATTCTATTGTAACAAAGAGGATTCATTCCCTTTGTCGTATTACACATAAACAAAATTGAACGTGAAAAGCAAAGAGAAAATTAATAGAAATATTACAAATGGTCTTTCACGAACCGACCATAAAATCACAATGACTCGAAATAATGCTTTTTAAATCACTTCGAAACTATACATATTTTAATTCACGGCCATTCGTTGTTAAATCCATGCATACACATTTATAAATAATTAAGCATCAGATATACATCATCTTTGTAGCGTTTAAACTTTTATTCCCTCGATTATCCAAATATAAAGATCCGAAATCGTAGAATTTAATTAAAATAAATCGTCCTTTTCAATCAATAATATCGCAATATCTTTCAACGCCGAATTCAACTTCCCGGTTTCAATAATTTCAAAATGTATTAAATTTACAATACGATTTCGTATCAAACACATCAATTAACTATTCAACTTAAAAACAATTGTTTGATACAATTTGATAAACGTACAAAGAACAACAATACTCGACTTACACTTTCCCCGTGTAATTAATAAAATCTCGATCTCGACTTCGTCGAGAAAAAAGAAATGGAAAAATATTCATCAAACTTGATCAAACTTCTTCAAACTTCGTCAAACGTCTTCGAACCGATCCCTAACATCCCTAATCGCAAAATCTCTCTCACATCCCCATCTCTAATCCCTTCAAACCGCGATCCAACGATTTCAAACGCGAAGCAACCCGATCAAACCGCGCGAAAAACCGTGAAGAAAGAATCGGAAACCCTCCTTCCCCCTCCTTCCAACGTGCTCATACGCCGGAAAACAATTATTTTCGAATCAACGCGGCCTCCAACGAGGGCGAGATCGATTCGAGGTTAATCGAGCACATAATTCAGGGGCGACGCTGCGTGTTTGCACGCGGCAAATCCGGAATCCGCACGCGAGCAGGTGCGACGCAATAAGCGGCCGTGCTTGCGGCCATTTCCAACCCCGTATTCCCTTCTTTCCAAACCGTCCTTTCTCCGAACCCCTGACCAATGAACCCGCGAACTCTCCCCTCTCTCTCTCTCCGAACCCCTGACCAATGAACCCGCGAACTCTCCCCTCTCTCTCTCTCTCTCTCTCTCTTTTTCTCTCTCTCCATGATAAATTCCAGAACGTTTGTTGTTCCTTGAAGCTGGATGGAATTTATGATGGCGAGATATTAATCGATTTCGGGGATATCGACAACGTGGAAAGTTTGGAACTCTTTCGAGGGATTTCGAAATGCGATGTATCAGAAAATTTGTTAGAGATCTTTTTTTTTTTTTTTTTTTTTTTTTTCAGAATTTGGAGTTTGGGAAAGGAAGTTTTGAGTAAAATTTAATCGGTAGCGTTTGCGAAACGAAGTAATTTTGCGGGGGGGAATTATTTTTCAAGCTTTTCACGGGTGTAAATTTTGTTGCTTCCTCTTTTTACCTCTTTTTTTTTTTCCGATTTATAATTTGATAAACGCGAAATAATCCGTGATCATTTCTGGCGCGACAGGTCACGCGTAACGTGATTTTTAAAGGGCAGAAACATCGGCTGTAATTCGAAGCTATACCCTCGGCAAAATTACGGGCGAAGCTAATTTCGTTTTTCGTTACTTTTGACGTTGAGAAATTTGCGTTAATTTCGTGAGCAAGGTAATTCGTGTAATATCCACGAATTATTTATCTCGGAATCGGAGATATTTCTAAAAGTGAATCGTATCGTTTGAACGTTTCTTTTATTTAATACACGACGATAAGTTTGTTGGACCATGCAGAAATCAATCGATAAAGTTAATCTCGTTGACACGAATATTTGTCTCGCGATAAATTTGATAACACATTGCAGTTTAACACATAGCGTACCGATAAATCATGGCCAGTTAGAGTCAATAAATATCGAATCATTAACAATTCCAGTGGCAAGAGCTTTCCAACCTTGAATCATTAACTATCGAATGGGAATGCATGTCGTAATTGAATGCATGTCGTTGCATGATAAT